CGTTGATGGTCTTCTGTTTATTTTATATTCACAATATTTTTTCTGTAAAAAATCACACAAGGTATGGTTTTAATTTCAAAAATGATTGATCAAATCTATTGGAATGCTGTAAAAATACATTTTCGGACAGTGATACAGCCCTCCTTAACATGCGACTGTCACATGTCAGACAGATGTGTTATGTATTCTTTGTGGCACTGATCTCTAATATTAATATAGAACAAAGAATGTTTGTATTTATTTTTCCCTATTTATTAACAGCTTTGGGTGGTGAGGCAGCAGCAGAGCCCCTAAGTAAGTACAATAGTCATAATCTGTCCAACCATCTGTTAGGTATGGTAGGGAGTAGGGAATGGTTAGGTGGGTGGGTTTTTTAAGGGGATGGGGGATTGTTTCTATAATAACCTTGTCGATTTTAATAGATTTGAAAATAAATATTTAGCCATACAATAAACATGGATTCATATTTATTAAAATGTGGCTCATTGGTAAAAAAGTGATGCCATTTCTAGAGGTCAAATGATGCCATTCTCAGAGGTCAAATGAAATGTAATGGGTGTAACAGAAGAAAATGTCTGCTCAAGTTTGCTCCTCATGTTAGACTTTTAAAACAATTCATCCAGAGTTGTCAGTGTGTGTCGAATCTGTTAACATCCAGAATAATGAAAGGGGTGAAAAGACTAGACTGAGGAGTGAAATATCAACACGACAACAGTATTGATATGGCTATGTCTGTTGGCCATAGGATCATGTAAAGGTCCTCGCCTCCAGAAATAGTTACAAATAATGAAAACAAAAACTTCTACTGGAAATATTAAAAATTTGGCAAAATGCTTATATCTATCCTGCAATAAGCCCCGTGGGAGGGGAGGGAAATCAATTATTACAGACGATGAATTAGATTTTGTTGATATCTCTTCTTAATGGCAATAGATACACATGTATTTACAATTTCTGCATATTTTCTTATGAAAATTATCTCGGAACTGAAGTCTGCAGGAAAACTGCAATTGTTTTGTGCCTAGACAACTTTGAACTTGATAAACTGGTACCTTTAATTTAAATGAGGATGCTTTTCTACATTGTTTAGTGTTAAATAGTACCCATCATTTTTACAGGTGAAGAACTTCAGCGTATCAAAAAAGAGAATCGAGAAATGAGGGAGAGAACGGTGTGTAAGATTTGTTTGGAAGACCAAGTCTCCATAGCGTTTATCCCCTGTGGTCATTTAGTGGCCTGCGGACATTGTGCTCATGCCATAACAAGGTGTGCTGTGTGTAGAAAACCAATCACCAGTAAAATCCTCACTCACATGGACGTGTAAGCTTCAGTAATCATGTGGTCAAGGTATATTTCTAATTCATTTCAATTCCTTTTATTTCCATGTTTGCCTCAAAGACTTTAATCTCGCTATATGTATTTATTGTACATTATTTTTGAAATTTTGGTGCGGTTACGGTTTATGAATAACCAGTATGGATGCTGGAGAAATATAGCCTCATTTTCAGCATTAAAGTACAATGTACATCATAACAAATGAATGTCTGCTTAAAGAGGGTGATAAGTTTGTCGCTGTAAACAACAACAAGGATGTAATAAGGTACATAAATCCCTTAAAAAAAGTGATAGAAAATCTTTGTAAAATAATCCAATAAGGAAAATTTACCCATGATTTCATTTAAGCAGGGGATCAGACACAACCAACAACAAATAGGAATTTCTTCTTACTAATTTAGAGACCACTTTAATATGCCAATCATTTTTGATTTTTTTATCTGTTTGGTGGGAAAATACAGAAGTGGATAGCTAGTGTATCTTTTAGCCTAAGTAACAGTTTTGTAATATATGTATTCAAATCAATAATTTTCAACCCGTTTATTGTGTTTGGATATATGTGCTAGCTTTTAGAGCATACAAGATATCGTGACGTATGCAAGATACAATTTTATGTATTTCATTGGATGGCTTGTGCAGTGTTTATTCACAAGAAGTGTTGTTTGAGGACATTGGCATAACTGTCGATGCATATAGCATCTTAAAATCTATGTGCTGTATAAGGAGATAACATGTAATGTCATTAGGCAATAGATAGTAAAATCAGAAGAGTCATTGTATGGGGCCGCGGTGGCAGAGTGGTTAAGGCATCTGACATTCTGCTTACACTAGCCCTCCACCACTGGGTCACGGTTTCCAGGCCTGTCATATTTTTTCACCATACGCTGTTAACTCATTCACCCCTGAAATTTCATAATGAACTATTCTAAC